ACTCTTTCATTCAGCAAAATATTTATGGTAAAATCACAATACACTGAGTATGAGCTAGCTGTGGGAATAAAAAAAATAGGAAAAAAACATTTCCATTCCTTAAGGAGCTCACTCATTAATATCCAGGTTCACCAAAGGTATGTAGCCAAATTACAAGAAAAAAGAAAGTGTTGAAAAAGTAAATATCTGTGAGCAGTCACCAAAATGTGACCCCCAGAATCTTTCTTCTCTTTAAAGTTCCCTCCTCTGGAAGATCTCTCTTGCCATCTTGAAGCATATCAAGTCAATATATTATAATCTATTTTTCTACATATCTGTCTGTCTATCTGTCTATCTATCTATCTATACATATATAACCAGTTGCACATGTGATTATCAGAGAAGCCACCCAGAAGAATCCAAGATCAAACTTAGGCCACAGTGGCTGATGATAGCTTGATAGTGGTGAGATTTTTCATCCTTGTGCCACGAAGGAGGCCCTGCATTTCAAATTCTAGCCGCTTGCTTTTCTCTGAAATCTCCCCAATGATCATATCACATTTATCTGTTTTTATGTACTCCTCTTTACATCATATCTTTAATTCTTACATGTCTTAATATGTCTTATATATCTTATGCTTTAATGTAAGAGAAAATGAGTATGTCGGACATAGCAGCAAATTAAACACTATGCAAGAAATTAAAGGCCTCTATAAGAATCAAGTGACATTATTATAAATATTTAACAGATTTTGAAAAAAAAAAAAAAAAGATTTCCTCAGAGGAAAGTGTTCTTTACAATTCACTGTTCGTATTCTATAATAATGACTGATTTACATGAATTGTGTTTTATTGATATTTTGCTGGCATCTGTATCTTACTTCTGGTGACCATTAAAACAGCAAAAAAATATGACAACACAGTTTTCATAACAAACATGCATAAAGTCCTATTTAATGAATATTCATAAAATAAAAATTACTGTTTTTAAAATGTAGTCAGAATTGACACACCAATTTTGTTAAAATATCTTTATAGTAGCAATGCTTTAGTAAAAAGTAAAAAAGGTTTCTTTCCTTTTTTAAAATCAAGCTACTTAAAGATCTTTTAATAGTATAAGTTGAATTTTTCTAACACTAGAAAAGCCTAGACTGAAATGCTTTAAATCACTTAAATAATTCTAGTGAGGGTAAGCTTTTTAGGGAAGCTATTCTCTTCATCTACAATAATTTTGCTACTTTTCTATTTTCCTTTTGTCTGAACTATGAGACGATGGAATGGATTGCATCAACATTTAGTTGATTGTGGACTTGTTAGGACATTTCTATTATGTTTTCCAATATCTTGACTATATTGCCTTTGAAGCTCATTTTCCTTAAATTCACTCACTAACAGCCTATGCTAATCCCTGGAAATTTTACATGATATTCCCAAAGGGGATGGAGTTTGCATGAGACTCAGCACTGAAATACTACTTCTTTACCCTCACCCAGCAGTTATTACTCTGGAATTACCACTGCCCATGCATAGCAGTGTGCTACGGAGACCTTCAGGATATATTGCTTTGAGCTATGGTTCCTGCTCTACAGAGCAGCAGGGAAAAGTGCTGATTTGCAGCCCAGACAAAAAGTGTTGCAGGACTTCCAAGGAAGAAGCAGTCAAAGTAGATTTATAAGGAGAAGAAGCTGAAATGGATTTCAATGCTGGGTTCTAGAAGAGCAAAGCAGGAGAGATGCATCTTGGAGTAGGAAAGGCATCCTGCAGTGCGCATGCTCTGGGGACAGGGGCACCCTCTGGGGGTGGGGACATGCCCTGGGAGTGGGGCATGCTCTGGGGGGGGGTGAGGAACACACTGGAGGTGGTGAGGGGACCACTCTAGGGGAGGGGGCAAGCTGTGGGGCTAGGCTGCTGTGGGACAGAGGCATAAGAGGGAAAGGGGCTGCTTTGGAGAAGAGAACATGCTTTGGGGTGGGGTCACTTTGGGGGAGGAGTACACTGGGTGGAGGGGACAGTGGAGAAGGAGGGGACCACTCTGGAGGAGGGCTGTCCTCTGGGGGAGGGAAACCCACAGAGCCTGTGGATTGTCATAAAGCTAGACAAAACACAGCCAGGGTCAGGCCACAGGGGCATAGAGAGAAGTTTCCTGGAGTCCGGACTTTAATTTTGGACAGTGATGAGACACTGAGAATATCTGTGACCGAGAAGTGACGTGTACAACGTGGCGTTTCAGTCTGGAAGGGCATGTGGTTGAAGTATGTGGGGTGATTGGGATGAGGGGACATCTGGAGGCAAGGACTCCACAGGAAACCATTTTAGAGGAGGACAGAGTCAGTACTGGGATGGAGACAAAGAAACATGAAAGATTCCGTTACAAAAGGCACAGCAAAAGAGCACACCTGGATGACCGACATTCAGGAGAGAAAAGGAGCCTCATTTCTGATTTGTCTTTGTGCTACATTAATATAGTTTTTGATACCCAATCTTTCCCACTTTTCCTTTGGGATTGTCTCGCCCCCAGTTAATTCATTAATGAGCACTGAACAATCCAGCTCCTTCCCCAGGAATCTGGAATTAGGTTTGAGAGCTGGACACTGGTCTCTCTGTGAAGTTTTGGATATAATCATGTACACCAGAAAGGTGGAAAAGCTGCCTTGTAGTAAGAGATAAAAAGATGTGAAATAGGAAAAAAAAAAAAAGTCAGAATAAAACCTAAGTGGGAGTTCTTATGTCTGCTTTCAGATGCTCCTAAAATTCAGCTGCACCCCTCCCCTTCCTCTGTCCTCCCTCCTGAGGGCTCCTTACAGAGGCTGTGATACAGTCTACCTTGGATTCAGCTAGCTGGCCAGGGTTACTGTCACTTGTAACCAAAATGGTCCAAACTGATACATTTCTCAACACCAACTCTCCATTCTTGGAGGAGTCTGAAACTCAGTCCCTGATGGCTGCATGTTTTTGCTTTCCCCTCCCAGTTCTGCTGATTCTGCCTTTAAATGCCAAACATCCTTCCTTCCTTCTATCATCTATGGCAAAAGTTTTATTTTTGAGTCCACAATCTCTGTAGTGGTACAATTTTCCACTTCAAGTCCCTGATTTTAGCATAACTACATAAAGAGATAAATGGTGGTGGACAATAGTAAAAATTTCGGGAAGCGATTTGTGCTCTGATGGATTCAAACTTAAGAAACTTCAAAACACAGTGGCCCACGTGACTTCTAATATATTTGACTAAAGAGAAGTTCAAAGAAGTACCAGGGCTTACTTGCCCAGAGCAGATAGGTATATAGGGAGCACGTTAGTTAGATGCTAAAAATAACCTTTCAGTAACAGATGAATAATAAGTAATGGCATAAAAGCTATTTGATAAATACCCAGAGGTGATCCTGCAGAACCACCGGCGACACATGTGGAAACTTCCAGGGCTTTCTCAGTCAAACTCCAGTATTTTCTCAATTATGCTAAACTATCTCACAAAATAACCACACCAATTTTTTTTTTTAAGATTTATTTATTTGTGCATACAGAACTGGGGTACAGGCCAGAGGCTCAGGGGCGGCGAGAAGCTTCACCAGAGACAGAGTGGGGAGCAGAACAGGCAGATGGATGAAGTACACTGCTGAGGGGAGCAGCAGGCGGGTCAGGAGAGGTCTGCCACGCCATGTGGTCACCTCCGGGGCAGGGGGGAATCAAACTCATGTGGAAGTGGCTTTAGCTTCTTAGTGCAGCGCCACCAGGGAGGGCCACCACACCATTTTTTTTTTTAAGAAACAAACATTTAAATTTATGTTTTCAAATAATGCATTTTAAATGGTCATTCATTAAAATAGTAAACATTTTAGAAACCAGCTTGACACTAATTTCCAAGCTATTAATACTATTGAACCAAGAAAAAAAAATTAAGTTTCTTTTAGGGTATGACAGAATATCTCTTAAAAATGTCTCTGTTGGGGCCCTCCCTAGTGGCACAGTGGGTTAAAGCACAGCACTAAGAAGTTAGACACTTCAACGTGAGTTCTATCCCCGCCCCGCAGGTGACCCACATGGAGCAGCAGGACTCTCCTGATCTGCCCCCTACTCCCCTCAGCAGTGTACTTAGTTGATCTGCTTGTTCTGCTCCCCACTGTGTCTCTGGTGAATCCTCTCACTGTCACTGCACCTCTGGCCTGTACCCCAGTTCTGTATGCATAAATAAATAAATCTTTAAAAAAAAAAGTCTCTCTGGAACTGAGAAAACAAACAGCTGTCCTGTGACCTTTCACAACAAGTCAGAGCACAACAGTGTTCACTTTCTGGGGACGTATAACCATGTCAGAAAGAAAAATCCCCAAATCACCCCATAAAAAGAGAAAGAAAATGTCCAGCAAATGTATGGCTATTAAACGAACAAGACAAAGGGCCAAGAAATAGTTAATGTCTCTGCTCTATTCAAAGGACTGAGATTAAGACCCCAACGTGTTCACACCAGAAGATTACAGGGGAAGTGCCTTGAAGGTGACACTATGATACCAAATCTCAGCTGCTAAGCTGGGCAGAAATACTGTTTACATGAAAATGGAATGACCTCTGCTGAAGGCTGAAAAGGAGCATTTCCATACCAGAAAAAAGCATTTTACATCACCCTATTTCCACCATTATAAAACCATGAGCTGCTCTGGCAATTGTTTATCCCTGCTTTGCTGGCTTGGCACTATCCTCAACAAAATGATAGGGCTTTTGTTTTGTTTTGTTTTGTTTTGTCTTTTCCCCGAAGCCTTGGCAGAAAATGCCATCAAGCTGCCCATTTTCTAGGCGAATACCTCGCAATGTGCAGACCACGAATTTGGGTGGCAGCCTGGTTGTGAAAGCCCATTTGGCTTTTCCTACCAGTAAAATGGTGGAAAATATGATCGGAGGCAGCCCCCCAACAGCAACTGTAAACTTGGCATTTCCTTGGGTTTATGGAGCCTTTCACTGTATAGTGTTGATTATCCTAAAAATAAAGCAGGGAGCTACTTCAGAGGGAATGGGATTACAAAGACACTTACCTGCATGACAATAAGGAGGTCAAACACCAAGATGAAAGAAGCCAAAAATGCTCTGGAAACTTCATCACTGGGCAGAAATCCCCTATTCAACTTGTCCCAGCTGATCCAGTCAGTTGTGATGACAAGCACCACCACAGACGTCAGGGTGAACAGAACCGTCCTGCAGGGAAGGAGACCCTTATTAGAGGACATTAGGCATTAATTATGGACACTCGAGGGTGCCTGTGGTTTGTGCTCTATTAACATGTCTCTCCCTGATCATGTACCCACCCCAAAGAGGTCACTGAAAGGAAGATGAAAAAAGAAGGAAGTTAAATGTTTTCTTATTTTATTTGATATATTTTACATCTTTCTTCATTTTGTATATTTTTCCATCTCACTTGTAATCCCCGTTGTAATTCCCACCACCACTTCACCCATGTGCCATCGCCATAGTCCCATGTGCTCTTCCCACCCCGGTTTTGACCTTGTTCCCCTCTTCTGCCCCATAGAATGTCTCTGGTTTATAGTTGTTAACTGATGATCATTTTACTTTATTAATATTGTAGTAAGAGATAAAAAGATGTGAAATAGGAAAAAAAAAAAAAGTCAGAATAAAACCTAAGTGGGAGTTCTTATGTCTGCTTTCAGATGCTCC